AAAGGAAGACACTGGATAGAAGTAACTGTTCTTCAGCTAAGTGATATGTAAACTCCGAGAGTGGCAAGATGGGACTCCCTGGCGGGCAGAGAAGGTGCCCTGTGCTTGCTCTTGCAGATGGAGCAGACAGCACCAGCCTCGGCACGCAGCAGGAAGGAGGACAGGGGAATCGAACCCCAGACAGAGAAAACATCCCAGAGCTGAGCAACACTGCACGGCGAAAGGAGCAAAGGCTGTCTACTGCCAGCACCCGCCCCGCGGACGCCCACCCCGCGGACGCCCATCCTGTGGGCAGCCACCCCGCGGACAGCCATTTACTCCTTTGAGACTTTCCATCTTTTACTCATGCCTTCCCCACCTAGAAAGAGAAGTGATTTATCTGACTGATCAGTGTAACATGAGAGTGGGCAGGGGTAATTCTACTTACACCGCTCACTGTCCCATCATCACCATTTCTTTGGAAAACAGGAGAAGCACACGACCCACAATCTTTCTCAAGGATGCAAGATGTACAGGGAGAGGGTTCACGTAAAATGGGGCTTCCAGCAGGCCAACACAGCTGTACACAGAGATACAGCCGAACAGGAGTGCTCACGATTCAAGGAAGCCCACTGTCCCTTTAACATTCTCAAGCCTAGTTCAGAGAAACTATCTGTGTGGGAACCTGTTTCCTGCCCTTTTTGTCATCCCAGCATCCAGCTGAGAGACCCAGGGACAGCAAGCAGATCTGGAGGGAGGAGGAGTATTACATGAGGGGGCAATGATGCACAAAGAAATAATCCCTATTCAGTGAGCATTTTTCACTGAAAGTCAACTTTTTGTATGTTAGAGATATGAGAATAAAAATAGTGGTGTTTGGCCTAGTGCAATAGCCTAGTGGTTAAAGTCCTCGCCTTGCACGCACACGCCCGGATGCCATATGGTTGCTGGTTCCAATCTCGGAGGCCCTGCTTCCCATCCAGCTCCCTGCCTGTGGCCTGGGAAAGCAGTCGAGGACAGCCCAAAGCCTTAGGACCCTGCACCCACTTGGGAGACCCAAAGATTCCTGGATTCAGATTGGCATAGCTCCAGCCGTTGCAGTCACTTTGGGAGTGAAGCAAGATCTTCCTCTCCATTTCTCCTCCTTTCTGTATACCCGCTTTTCCAATAAAAATTTAAGAAATCTTAAAAAAAAAAAATAGTGGTATCATTGTTGGCTATCCACCCCATCAGAATCTAACAATTTGGACAGGTGTGTCTGGATTCACTTGGACTTCAAAGGGGTAGTCCTAAGTGTTTTGAACAAAGTTTCTGAAATAGGCAAAACGTGAGTCAAGCTAGATCAACAGTAATGATCCAAGCAAGGCAATATGGAAGAAGAAAACCGAGAAGCCAGAGTGCTGTCCAGGTACACAGCAGGACGAAAGGCAAGACAGAATCCACAAGGTATGTTAAAATTCTCAGTCACTTCAATCAAAGTCACCAGGACAGCTCTGAGAGACAAGGTTCCCAAGTCTGCTCTGAGCTCCCGCTGCACTGACGCTCCCCCTGCACTCAGCTCTGAGCTCCCCCTGCACTGACGCTCCCCCTGCACTCAGCTCTGAGCTCCCCCTGCACTCAGCTTTGAGCTCCCCCTACACTGATGCTCCACCTGCACTCAGCTCTGAGCTCCCCCTGCACTGACGCTCCCCCTGCACTCAGCTCTGAGCTCCCCCTGCACTCAGCTTTGAGCTCCCCTGCACTGATGCTCCACCTGCACTCAGCTCTGAGCTCCCCCTACACTGATGCTCCACCTGCACTCAGCTCTGAGCTCCACCTGCACTCAGCTCTGAGCTCCCCCTACACTGATGCTCCACCTGCACTCAGCTCTGAGCTCCCCCTGCACTGACACTCCCCCTGCACTCAGCTCTGAGCTCCCCCTGCACTCAGCTCTGAGCTCCCCCTACACTGATGCTCCACCTGCACTCAGCTCTGAGCTCCCCCTGCACTGACGCTCCCCCTGCACTCAGCTCTGAGCTCCCCCTACACTGATGCTCCACCTGCACTCAGCTCTGAGCTCCCCCTGCACTGACGCTCCCCCTGCACTCAGCTCTGAGCTCCCCCTGCACTGACACTTCACCATTCACTCAGCTCTGAGTTCCCCCTGCACGGACGCCCCCCCCCTGCACTCAGCTCCAATAAGGACCCCGGAACTACATCCTGACTTGTGCAGAATCGTTCCTACCTAACATATCTCTTCAGATTTGTAAAATTTTGCCTAAAATTAACTAGTAATTCAAATATTCTAGTTTCCACAAATCACAAAGATGCTTTGAGATGTCTGAGAAAAGCCTTCGATGTGAGCTGTAAACAGAGGAGTTTCACGGTGTCTGCACTTCCATAAATGGACATTATACATTATAAGTTATACTGTTATTATCACAGGCAGATAGAAGGTCTTGGTAAGATCCATAAAACATACCAGGTTCAATTATATATACTTCAAAGAACAGTTTCTAACTGTTACTTCATTTTTCCACTGGAGACTAATTTTAAAATGGTGGTAGCACTGTTACATACAGCAAAGCCCTCCTTTCATTATGAAAAGAATCAGCTTCCCGTTGTTAAAAAGGAGTTATTCTAAGTATTTTTAATAATTGATTTACATGAACTTGGGTCAGATTTTAGAGAAATCTTTATATCAATATATTCAGAATGTATAATCTAGCTCCCGAACAATATATACAGACTTGCAAAGGAGAAACTGCTAACTATTAAATCCAAACAGTGACCAGGATGTATTCCTTGAATACGCGCTATCTTGGTGGCATTTTCGATATTTACTGAGATTTAATAAATAAATCCTTATATTTCTCTATAGCATCAGTGATTTTTAGGATTAGTTTCCTTTAATGCAGACCAGACTTTCAGACACATTTCTTAAAATCTGAGTCTAGCAAGTACATCTACTTCCCGTCCTAACAGTTGCTTATCTTTCCGTCAGCAGTTCTTAGCCAGGGATGTATTTGCGTCTAACATTTTCAGTTACCTACAAAAGAATTCTTCTTACATTCTAACAATCCCGTGATTGAAGAGCAGAGCTACAGAAAGTGAAAGTCACATTAACAGGATTTTTGATCAAAGCAGGAATAACAATGGAGAGTTCTTAGAATACCTGGAAGGGTTTCATCTTGAAACACCTGCTCCTGTCAATCAACTAAACGGAGATTCTGAATACATCATGCGTTATCCTCACTAGCCCACAATTCTAATTCTAAATGTAGCAAAAATTTCTGATGTAGTTATATTATTGAAGAATTGCATGTGATTAAGTACTCTTTGCTTAGCTTACTTATTTTATCAAAAAAAATCTTACCATGGTCCATTAAATTTTAAATATATATACATACCAGAGTTCTTTTTGAAAAGGATATTATACATTCTTTGTTAAGAATGTAAAAAATATAAATACTATCATAAAATAATTCAAATCATGTTTATAAAATTACATTTATAATCCATTTTTATCATCTACAATTAAAATGTGAATTTCGGGCCAGCCTTGTGGCATGGTGAGTAAGGCACCCCCCTGGGACACCAGCTTCCCACGCATGGGTGCCAATTCATGTCCCTACAGTCCCACTTCTGAGTTTCCGACTAATGGCCTGCAAAAGCTGAGGATGGCCCAAGTTTTGCGCACCTGTTGCACATGCAAGAGACCAGATAAAGCTACTGGCATCCCTGCCACCCAATCCTAGATGTCACAGCCATTTAGGAAGTGAGTTCAGTGAATGAAATCTCTCTCTCAAACTGATTTTCAAAATAAATATTTTAAACTGGATTTCTTTGTCATTCATTTGTTCAGCTTTGTCAGAGTTGCTGAAAAATGCACTCAAAACTAGGCACATTTTCTACAACTTTTCAATTTTTTTGTGTTCTGAAAACCTTGTCAGCATTTTACCGAGCAAAATTGTACATACATTTAAATGTGCACATGAATTATACATGCATACACACATAGAAACATGAACATAAACTGTATTTACATACACCTGCAGATGTGTGTGTACAAAAACACGTGTGTGTGTACAGCTCTGTCACCTAATGGCCATCAAAAACAATCCTCATTTACATCCTTCGCCTACATAAATTTGACAATTTAGAAAAACAATTTCAGATTTCCCATTAAAAAAAAAACTTTGAAATGGAGGTATTACACATTGTTGATTGCACACACTGCTTTGTAAACAAACTCCAAAAAATGAGCGTTGCTAGGTAAATATTAAATTATTTGATATAGAAGCTGGCGTCTGAAACCAAGCAGCATCATATAGGTCTGCATTGCTAACTAGTGGTGAGATGGAGTAATGCAAGTAGGTTTTCTAAAAAAAAAAATTAAGATCTATTCCTCATTGAATGAATGTTAACTTTTAGAAGCCATTATTAAGCCATTATTATTAACGTTTAGAAGCCATTATCTTAAAGAACATTTGTGTTTTGAACTATGTCTAGATTATAGTAATTCTGAGCGTGCACAGCCATGATACTTCACTAGATACCTGGATAAGAAAGCACGGTAAGTCCACCTGCCCACATGTAAACACACTTGTATATGTCACACATTTGCTGCATATCAATGCATTTGAAATTATTCAGATTGTCTATGTTTGATCAGTTTTTTGTTTTGCTTATTCTTGTCCACTTATTTAATTAAATACTTTATACACAGAATATGCATGACTGTTCAGGTAGCCAATATTAACTTGTCACTTGAACAGTTCATGACCAGAGCTTATTCATGAAAATGTGAAAGAACAAGTGGCTGCTCCTACAAAGTTTTACCAACATGAGGCGTACCAAAAGAGCCTGTATGGGATCCTGGCACATGCAAGGCAAGGACTTTAGCCACCAGGGGACACACAGGGCCCTGAATTCAGTATGAAAAACAGCATTTCAAACAGTGCTATTTAAAGAAAATTCAAATTTTAACCATCCTTGTCGGGTGGGCCTCCTTCCCATTGTGAAGCATCCATAAAGGACACTGTTTCATCATGTTCCCATACCTCCGGCACACTTGGCGGCTTCGATTCATTCAGCTCTCCATACTTCCGCTTCCACAACGACAATTCTGATTCAAGTTGCGCTACTTGTTTTTCCAAAGCTGCACGCATTCTAAATAATTAAGAAAGAAGACTTTCAATTTCAAAATAATTTTGGAAATACACCCGCTTTCTACTTTTTTCCATTTTTATGACATGTGGGAATTATAATAAAATATTTCTAAAGTTACTAAAAACAAATATTGAAGAGTTTAATTTTTCATTAGGCCCATATAAATTTCATTTTGCCATGTTGACTTTGTCGTGCTGACTTCATCTCTTTGTCATAGATTTTGTGCATCTCTCTCATTCACATTATTTCCTAACACAGCAGAATGTAGAACTTGTAATTATTACCAAAGGACTATGCTGCTGTGGTAATGTGGGGAGAAATAGTGAGAGGAGGAAGCAGGGAGGAATCCCTACAGCCATGAAACTATCATGGAAATAATAAAACACTAAATTAAAAATAACATGCTTCTTAGTTTAACATGGCTTTTTTGTATGTACATCTTTGAAGAATCCTTTGAGATGACACAATATGGCAAAGATCATACTAACAATTTTAAAAATTATTTATTGGAGATATAAAAATAAATAGTTTCAGTTAAGGGTTAATAAAGCGATCTCACAGTTATCCCTATTTAAGATAACTAAAGTTGTCTATATGCTGAACTAAGAACAGAAACAGGATTAAAATATGAGCTTTTAGTATTCCAGCCAATATATGTGTTTTCTTTGAACATAATGACCATTGAGTCACTAAAAATAACTGCTTAATTTGCAGGTGCAATTGCTTTATTTCAACCTTTGCAATGACCTGAACGTTTCTGTGTGGTGGAAGTCTGTACTCTTTTCCTCAACTTCCACAAAGATGATTCATCACCCTTCACTTCTAGGCTCTGACTATGCAAGGATTGGGAAAATCAGAAGCTTGAAAGAATTTGCATGGCTGGGCTCTAATTAAACATATTCTGATCACTTTATGACACTAAGAAGTGTGGACAATGCTAAAACCTTGATGCATATAGACCACACCAATGTCTTTTCATGGCATTAGATGTCATTACAAAGAACACAGCATGTTCAGAGTTAGAAAATATATGCAGATGCAAAATTGAATTTCATTTACATATTTAAAGGAAATGTCACTTTTCCTGGTAGCAATACTATGAAATTTACTCAAAATAATGTTAGACTGTAAATATATTAGTGTCCTTTAACCACAAGTATAAGAGCTGTACTTAAGGGTTATATAATTGTATTTTCAAAAACTAAATCATAAAATTGGAACAGGATACAAAATAATTAAAGCTTAGTTTAGCATAAGATTCGTGATGGAAAAAGAAAAAACAAGTTACTGGGTACTGTATATAGGTTTTTGGTTAGGAATAAATTAACAGCAAATATATCAAATTAAATTATAAAGTCAAACATATGCTATTAAAAATATCTAGGCTTACTGAATTCTGTGTGTGCGACTACTACTTTATTTAAAAATGACAGCCAAAATTTCTGTGGGTGAGTAAACCTGGTCAGCTGATGACACCCAATCATCACAGGGTATGTTTTGTTATACTGTATTTGTGTATTTTAGATAATAAAAGCTATTAAGGAAATAAGACAAACAAATATTAAAATTGGGTAACCCCCAATTTTAAAATACAAAGTACAAGTTGAAACTACCATACTAAAATGTTAAATTTTTGATATTAACCATGTTTTAAGATGTGGCTAAGAGAGAACAGATTGAAATATGAATTGGATATTGACTTTGAAGTGTGAGTTTAGAACACAAGTGAAATGAAATTGTATTAAGTCTGATATTTCCCAGAAATATTTGTAAGAATCAGTACCTTTGTAATTTTAATTTATAAAATTCACATACATATAATTTGATATTTTGTCAGTAGTTAAAATTTAAGGAATCTAATGAAATCTTATGGAAAAAGACATTTGCTTTTAATAACTTCAATTTTATGTCTGCATACATTGAAAAATTTCTCCATAAAAGTCTGAAAATTTTAAAGACATAATGATAGCATAATTATATTTAATAATTTGAAAGAGTCTAAAACTTAAACTTTATGAATTCAAACTCTTTGTATTTTATGAAATCAAATGTCAGTTTTTTTTAACAAAACCTGCTGGCAAGCGCGTGGGGAAAAGGTGGTAGGAGTGACTAGTTCAAGCCACTCCTGGACTAGTATAAGTCAGTACGGAGAGCTTGCAAACAGCTGAAAATTGGTCTACCATTTGACCTAGCTATTCCATTGCTGGGAATATAGCCAGATGAAGTGAAATCTGCATGTGAGAAAGTAACCTGCATCCATGTAGCGACAGATAGCATCACAATCTACAGTAGCAAAGACACGGATACAACCAGAAGCCTGCCCAAAGTTTCAAGAGACAAAAATATGTATTTTTATTATTTGTAAAGAGCTACAACTGGGTTAGGAGAGGGAAGGAACAGATAGGATATTCCCTAAAAATTATCTAATGACATTAAGGTTCTTAAATATTTTTAATATGTTCCTATCAAAAAAGATAATTATGACTTTCTGCAGGAAATCACCCAGGCCCTTGTAAATATCAGTTAATGCAGCAGAGGGCACTCTACGATGGAATGTCAGCATAAAGCTATGAGTTTGTTTTCTTGTGAACTTTTCTCCATAATATGGCAAATTCATGCTGTAGAAAAATATAGGTATGGCTTATTAACTTTTTTCACAAAACAGAAACTCAAATTCATTTTACACAATTTTTAAATTATTCATATACAAATACTCAATTTCCTGGCCTAATCAACTTCTTTCAGAGACAGTGTCAAAACTAATTCCACGGTTAAGTCTATTGTTGAAAGGTAAACTAGCACCATGCTTTTCAACCTTCGAAAGGACAAAAGGGTATTAGTATTGCACTAAAGGATATTATACTTGCTCTGCACAGATTTTTAAAGAACTGAATAAAATAAAACTCAGCAAAGATGCAGGTAAGATACAACCTTCTAAAATTTATGGGTATATGTGAATTATCTTCCTATGCAATTTCTTAAATATACTGATCCCATAATTAGAAATATGAGTATCTAAACATGAAGATGCTTGAAATATTTGAAATATTCATTCCCAGAAATGAGAGGTGCTAAAATAATATGTGGCAATAAATATTAGTCATTTTGGAACTGTGGAAAATGTCATTGAAAAATATTGAATCAGTATTTTCTGAAAGGGCCTAGCAATGTCAAATTTGCTTGCTTGTTTGCCGAATCAATTATCTTGTAATGGCATGTATATATTCATTTCTATAGCAAATTAGGAGCTCACATTCTACTATTGCAAATAAAATAAATTTTAATAAGAAACATGGAGTGTGCCTCTTGTACCATCTTATGATTGCACTCCCAACAATTACATCTTTCACCAGGTATTCTTACTTGCCACTAGTTTAGCTAAAAGTCACGGATTTAAAGAGGAAGTGCTGCACTCAGGCTCTCCCATGGGTGCGAGACAAGGCCACACTCAGGCTCTCCCATGGGTGCAAGACAAGGCCACGCTCAGGCTCTCCCATGGGTGCAAGACAAGGCCACGCTCAGGCTCTCCCATGGGTGCAAGACAAGGCCAGCCTCAGGCTCTCCCATGGGTGTGAGACAAGGCCACGCTCAGGCTCTCCCATGGGTGTGAGACAAGGCCACGCTCAGGCTCTCCCATGGGTGTGAGACAAGGCCACTCAGGCTGCAGGAATGGTCTTCTTGTCAACTGCATCCTTTCCTGCTACTAATGACGTGTTCTACATGTCAACGCAGTCCATCAAAAGGTGCCAACTCAACACCTCACGTAATATCTGACATGGCTAGTTTCTCACTGTTTAGGTGCACCTAGCTCTTCCAGACCATCAGGTTCTCTGTAGTCATCTAAATTTTCTACCTTGCCATCTTTAAGTCACAATATGGAAATTTCATTATATAACACGCTTGTTTCTATGAGGTTATTATTCACCGAACTGAACAGTACTCCAAACACAAACAGCTTACTCTCTTTGACAAAGAATTTTTACTAGGGAGCAGTGGTAGAAATGATCTCTTGAATTTATTCAGCTGCTCTCTGCACACTATCAAGAGCATTTTCCCACTGGATGGGAACCTAGAAAAAACTACATTCGCATCTCTTCAACTCAAGCCACCCACTCACTGAGATTCCAGGAGGAAGAACTTAGATAAAACAGACTGATAGTTGTAACACACTGTATCCTTGGGAAACTCTGCGCTGTCATAGAAACCCAGATTGCGGTTGTCTCCTGTGGGTTACGTGCCAATGTTGATCTGTAGAGACATGCACCATGACTCACAATGTCCAAGGATGTTTTTTCTTAAATAGGAGAGGGAAAACAAAGCCAATCAGAGAGCTTCTTCCCCTTCCTCTTTGGCCTTTGTTTTGTATGTTGAATTGCTGAGAACTGGATGACTTACTTACTCTAGGTAGTGGTTCATTTATTCTGACAAGTAGAAACATGTGTGTTTTTATGTGCAGTAATGAGTGTGTAAAGATGGCATGCACACGCTATTAAAACAAACAATTAACAATAGAAGTTTTCTCCCAGGACAAAGCTTCTTCATATTACTCATATTACAGCATCTCGATGCAATGACTTTGTGGTCAAGTTCAGAAGAGGTTTCAAACACCAAAAAGTTAAATTCTTCAGAAAATAAAAAATACTGGGATTAGAAATCAGTAGGGACCTGTAAGTCAAGAAAATATTAATGCTAATACATGCAGAAGCCTGAAGTTTCAATTTCATTCTGTTTTCTTCTAACATGGTTCTCTTAGTAGGGCTTTGAAAAATTTGTCCTCCATATCCTTGTGACCCTCAGCATTTAACCAAGCACAAATGGAAAACACTCAGAAAAAAAGAGAAGCAACTGGTGGTACTTCTGCTTTTCAGAGGAACAAATGCAGAACTCTGGCTGACGGAAGAGGGTGCTTATTTTGTGGAAGACTGGTGTGCAAGCTAAGCACTGTTTTAGCCAATTTAAAGCAGAGAATGAAAACTACAACTAAAGAACTTCAAAAAGTTCATAATGGATTAAAATGTTTCATTAAAATGTTAGAAATCTTAACTGACAGGGATTTTACTCTGTTAGCTCTATCTTCAGACCAGAGAAGGTCTCCCCAAGAAGCCGTTGAACTTATCTGGACAATAAGATGCTGGACTCTATGCTTTATATATGCTTGCAATGAAGGAATCTCAACTGAACTTGAACTGTGGTTATGCAACAAGGTGGAGGAATCCACCATGGGGGGAGGGCTATGAGAAGGGTGAGGGGAATCCCAGTGCCTATAAAGCTGTATCACATAATACAATGTTATTAACAATAAAAAAATAAAAATAAATGTTAGGAATCTATACATAATTTTTCATAAATATTTTCAATGAATATATTGAAGACCTTTTGTGAATAAAGTATAGTGGCTGTGTGTGGTGGGGAGAGAGACATAATTAAACATACGGAAAGTAAATAGAAAATATTTTTAGATTTGGAATTCACATTTTTTTTTAAAAGATTTTCAAAATTTTTATCGGAAAGGCAGGTATACAGAGAGGAGAGAAAGAGAAGAAGATCTTCTGTCCGATAAGTCACTCTCCAAACGGCTGCAATGGCTGGAGCTGTGCCAAACCGTAGCCAGGCACCTATTCTAGGTCTCCCACATGGATGCAGGGTCCCAAGGCTTTGGGCCGTCCAGGCCACAAGCAGGGAGCTGGATGAAAAGCAGGGTTGCCAGGATTAGAAAGGGGGCCCAGATGGGATCCCGGTGCAAGCAAGGTGAGGACTCTAGCCACTAGGCTACCGTGCAGAACCCAATTTGGGATTCACATTTTAGAGTGGATGGAATATTCTGTACTGGGCTGATACTTTTTAAGTTGATCATGAACAAAAGGAAATATAGGCTAGTTCATATTGGTTTCTTTCCCCCAAATTATTTGCATATCATTCTTACTAGATTTCTGTGCAAAAGGCTACAACATACATATTTTTTTTTTTATTGTTCCTTACATTGTATTATGTAGTACAGTTTTATAGGCGCTGGGGATTCCCCCCACCCCTCCCATACCCCTCCCCCCATGGTGGATTCCTCCACCTTGTTGCATAACCATAGTTCAAGTTCAGTTGAGATTCATTGCTTGCAAACACATGCCTAGCATAAAGTTCAGCGTCTTATTGTCCAGATAAGTTCAGTGGCCTCTTGGGGAGACCTTCTATGGTCTGAAGATAGGTCTAACAGAGTAAAGATCCGGTCAGTTAAAAGCCCCAACAAGGCCTCAGTATCAATATACAACATTATGGAATTAATTGACATAGTAATGGGTAGACAATATGTTAAAAATAATGCAAGTTCCATTCTTCGAAACATCTGGGTTGAGACAGTATCAATGACAGGTTCAAAAAATAACCAACAACCAAACAAAAAATTACAGGTTAAATCAAGGCAAACATGTGGTATCTAATCTTTTGGGATTCACTCATTTCCCTTAGCATTATAGTTTCCAGTTGTGCCCATTTAGCCACAAAGAACTGCATTTTGTTTTTTTTAATAGCTGAGTAGTATTCCATGGAGTAGATGAACCAAAGCTTTCTTATCCAATCTTCTGCTGATGGGCATTTCGGTTGCTTCCATGTTTTTGCAATTACTGATTGTGCTGCAATGAACATAGGGATGCAACAACATACATATTTTTGCAAAGGTGGATCCTGTAATCACCACATCCTTATGTTCCAACCGTAAAGTGATTTTGACACTTGTCCTTTGAACTCGAGTCAACCTTTGGATTGCTTTCATCAATAATTGTATCAGAGTGAGGTTATAGAAACACTAGTTTTTTAATTGCTTATGTTCATTTCATTTGGGAGAGATAGAAGTTTGTCATTTTTTGGTTCACTCCCCAATGATCACAGCACTTGGGGGAGTGGACCAGCATGGAGCCAGAAGCCCAGGATTCGCCGTTCGGTTGCTCTCGTGGGTAGCCACACGTTCTCCTCTCAGTCTGTCCACTTGTAGCACACTGGAGCAGGTCTTACACCCAGGTAACTTCTGGTATGAAATGCTGGCCTCCAAAGTGGCACCCTAACCACCATGCAAAATGCCAACCTTGTCATGTGGCTTTTGAAGCCACGTCACAAAAAAGCCATACGTTTCTGTGTAGTTTTCAGTCATTCACCCACAGTCCAGGCACAATGCTGAGAAACCACAGCAAGTGGATGAGATCATTCAGGAGTTCCAAATGAGAGTGCAAAGAGGACTGAGACCTACTCTCAGGGCGTGGGAGTGGGTTAAAGCCCAGATACTGCAGCTTCCAGCTGCCTATGCCTTTGAACCAGCAGATCTATAGCATGCAAAGCAGTGACTGACCAGCACAATACATGACTGTGTTTGCTTTAGAAACAAAACACCCAGAAGAATGTCCCAGAAAAAAAATAGATCACTGTCTCTATTATTAGAAAAGGGACAACACTTCAATATCATATAACTAGAATACATTAGAACCAAGATTAAGAACCAGAATAATCACAAGCCTAGATCTCTTTCCCTATAACATAATGGTCAATGTGTAAGAATCTTCATCAGCAAGGAGTGCCTCATGAAATTTTTATTTTTCCATTCACTGAACTATATTAGTGCTGCAAAAGTCAGATATACTCTGAATATTTTAATCATACATGTTAGCAATTCCAATACAGTTAAAAGTGAGCCTTTCGGAGGTAATGAGAATACGGCTGTAATAAGCGTCATTTCAAAACAATGAAATTCCTAAATTACCTTTCAAAATTCAAAATATAAACATATACAAAGCTTATTTTTTCAATCTTAGAAAGCAACCACTAAAACATGAGGAAAATACATCGTTAAATGACCAGCTGGTCAAACTTATCAAGTGTGAGAAGTTTGAAAAGCAGACTCGGCTAAGGAATGCTGTGTTCAGTACTTACTTTCTTTCCTTCCAGAGGATTTTCTGGAAGTCGTCCAAATGCACCTGCAAAGTTGACATGTCAGTTACTTCCGTCTCCAAAGGCAGACTGATTGCCTGCAATCTTAGCTCAGGTTTCACTGCACAATTTCCAGAACCACATTTCTTAAACAAATCAGGACTATCTAGATTGGATTTCATCTCCTCATTTAATCTTAATGGATTGATAACGACATTTTCCTGGGGGGGGAAAAGGCATAAGATAGTTGGTGTTGCTGAATATTTAAATCTCAGAGAAAAAAAATAAATGCAGGGTCAAATGAAATGAATATTATGAAATGGCATCAAATTCATTATATTCATTTGTCATTCACAAGAGTTTTTATATGTCCAAACTAACTTACCCCAAGTTCTCCTTACCATAAAACAAATTTCTCAAAATGCCTGTCCTTTTAATTTCATCTTTCCTAATTATAGCTAAGGATAACTCTATCAAGTTAGACAGCTCTAAAAAGTTTGAATTGAAAATCTATAAGTTTCTTTATTCACAAAATACTCCAGAGTTTCAATATAAAGGCCACTGGTTGTTTCTTATATTTTAGGAGGGAAAAATTAAAATTATTTTCAGCGAGTTCTCATGTAGCTCACCAGCCAAATCTCAAGTAGAATGGAGTGGGACGCGTTAATAAATGAGGGCCAGTTGTTATAACAGCACACTCATCAAACATCACAATATTACAAAATGTCACTGAACTCACACTGTAGATAGTTACATATAATTAAATTTTCCTTGACTTGTGTTTGTAAGTTAAATAAAGTCATGCTCAAATAAGATTAAATGATAATTGTTTTCTAAACGCTATTCTTGAAGAGGACAAGATGGTCAACTGGGGAAGGCAGATGTAGTGAATGCAGAGAACACTGGAACAGGAACAGATGGAGCAGAGCTGGAAAGGGCAATCAGTGAAGTTCCCAGGAGTCCACTGGAGGGAAGTGGGAGCCACACAGACAAAGAAAAACTGCTGAAAGCATCCAAGGCACCCCAAGTCACAGAGAAAAGCCTGGGGGTTTCAAACCAGTCCAAAGGGAACAGAGTAGTAATAATCAAAACAGCCTGGTACTGGTACAAAAGCAGACACCAATGGAGCAGAATAGAAACACCAGAAAAGAGCCCACACATGCACAACCATATGATCTTTGACAAGAGAACAGAAAACAACCCAGGGAAGAAAGAAGGGCTCTTCAGCAAATGCTTTTGGGACACTTGGATAAAAGCCTGCTGAAGTAAGAAATAAGACCCCCACCTTTTACCATGCACAAAGATCAAATCTAAACGGACAAATGAAGTAAACCTACACCCAGAAAGCATCAAGCTAATAGAGGAAAATATAGGAAATACTCTACGAGATATAGGCACAGCAAAGACTTCCTAGAAAAATCATCCAAAGCAAAGGAAGTCAAAACCAAAATAAACAAATGCGACTACATCAAACTAAGAAGCTTCTGCACAGCAAAGGAAACAATCAAAGCATAGAAAAAAAAAGCAACCAACACAGTGGAAGAAAATCTTTGCACACTACACAACAGACAGAATATACAAAGGACTCCAGAATAATAAGAACAAAACAAACCAGTTAAGAAATGGGCAAAACAAATGAGCAGACAATTCCAAAAGGAACAAATTCAAATGGCTAACAGATGTAAGAAAAAGATTTTCAATCTCCCTAGCAATAAGGAAAATTCAAATAAAAACAACACTGGAGTACCATTTAACTTCAATGGGAATAGCCAACATACAGAAAACTACCAACACCACCTGCTGGTGAGGATGTGAGGGAAAAAGAACCCTACTGACAACACCTGCTGGTGAGATTACAAGCTGGTGCAACCACTGTGGAAATCAGTATGGAAACTATTCAGGCAACTGAAAACTCACCTGCCCATCCCACTCTTGGGAATATATCCAAAAGATCTGATACATTCATATGAGAAAGCAACTTGCACCCCCTGTACTCATTGCAGCACAATCAACAATCACACAAGCATGGAAGCAACCTAGATGCTCAGTGAAAGAAGACTGGATAAATAAACTGTGGCACATGTACTCAGTTATTAAAAAGAATGAAATTTTACTATCTACATCCAAATAGTTCCAACTGGAGACCATTATGTTAAGTGTAATGAGCCAGTCCCCAAAGGACAGATATCATATGTTCACTCTAATATAAAACAACTTCCATCAAAAATGCAAAACAAAAAGTGAATAAACACACACATGCATGTAACCCCACAAATAGAGGGTATAATGCAGACCAAACTACTAGGAGTTAAGGAAAATCAACAAAGCATTTCTACTAAAGAATGAGGGTAAACTACCAAAGAAGCTTGAATCTACCAAAGCAAAAAATTACAATACAAAATGCTAACAGTGTTCAGCCCACAGAAGGAGCAAAAAGTTGGAATCATTTCTCTTTCATCTCTAACTTTAAGTGTTTGCTCCCTAATGGCCATTGCAAATATGGCTGAGGGGTTGTTTTGCTCATCTTCTTAAGGAATAGTTCTTTCTTATTGCAATTTTCAGTTGTTTGATGTCAAATCTATTTTTGCTGTGAATTTTGCCTTTTTTCACTTCCTATTCATTTGTTATCTTTTCCAATAAGTCCTTCTGATTCATTAATAGAGCATCAATGACTTTTTGATTGTAAGCACCTGGGGTTTCGACACTATTTTTGCTACAGCTCATGAGCTGTCGCTCATGTTATTAGCATTTTTGTTTCACTGCCACATGAGTCATGATGTAGCATCAATTTCTACAAGAAGGTTTTGATTTTCTTTTTCATCACTTTAGCTATGCACTGGTAATTCTGTAGCATCTTGTTTAACTTAATGTTGACCAAAACTTTGTTTTTCTCCCTGTTGTAAACTGTGCTTTCTGGTTCTGTATTCAATGGGATATATGATGGAAGTGAAGTGCACACTAACTTGTCAAGATATGGTGACAGTGCAGCATGCCTCTGTATCCAAACCAAAGATGGGCTCCCAGTGAGTCTGTTGAATACATCCTGAGAGTAGGATGCTGCACTCTGACATGGCCCATGCAAACAATACCAAGAAGCACTTCAATAGCAGAATGAGGAGCTTAATGACTGTTGATGAAAGACTACCCATTGCAATACAGGACAAGTCAGTAGGAGGAAATGCAAAAGGTAGCTTATACCTAATGCAAGTTCTACTTTTTATCAGAACGGCTTATGATCTTACAGATGTTTCTAGAGATGGAAACTAGTAAGGAAGAACAATGTAAAATGAGTTCATAAAGTTTTCCGAAACTCCATGAGTTGTAAATAATCCTTACCAGGTTTAATGTGAGGAAGGAAAACTCTTGAATTAGTAAGTGTATAAACTGTTATACTGAGTGAAACTTCATAAGTTTAACCTGTGCAAAATTCTCAGAAATGTCAATATCAAAATGTACAAAATAAGTCTGAGTGACCAAGCGAAGCATTTCCCAGTACTCAGTTTATGAAGAGTTAACTGCATAACCAGAGTTCCAAACCCTGGGAAATATTCAAACTGTTCTGTGAATCATTCATTAGTATCAACTAGGGTAAGTGGACAGAAATAATTTCAAATATTCCATTTTCACCTGACAAAATGCTCAAATTTTGTTGTAAATAAGAGTGAAGTCACCAATACATGCCAAATTGGGTTCTCTCAAAATTAAAGTGTCAATATCCTAACCATTGGTACATATAAAAATACTTATTTGAATATAGGGCCTTCAGAGAACTGATTGAACTCAAATGGGGTTACTGAGTTGAGCAATGATGGACTCCATGTCAACAAAGGAAATGTAAGCACAGACAGGCGCAGAGACAAGACGGTGTAGAAACCCAGGCAGGAAATGCTGTGTGCCAAGGAGAGAACTCAGAAGAATCCAGCCCTGTCGACACCCGGGGGTTCAGTTTCATTCCCCTAAACTAGTGCATCTCTACATCTCTGGTGCTAAGACACTCGGGTGATGGTGCTGGTCCCTAGCTTCCCAGGAGACGACCGCAGTCCCCACGGCCTCGTCACCCACTCCAGCTTCCCCTCACTACGTAAGTTCCCCAAAGTGCCTGATCCTCTGGTTCCTCAGGGCAGCAGTTTCTCACCTTATTATTCACACTCTCCCCAACAGAACTTTGCCTTCTCACCAAACACTCTGCCATATGCTCACATGCTTGTGACCTGGCTGGCAGTTCATCACCACGTTCACTGGACAATCCTACGAAGCCGAGGGGCTTCAAGTCCCAAGTAACATCAGCGGCTAAGGGCTCCTTTTGAAGTGGTGGACTCTGTTTCTTTCTCTGTTCATTCAGTTCTTTCATCGCCATCTCTAATTTTATTCTGAGCTGTCGACTTTCTTCCCTGGCACTGTTCCTTTCGGCTCGAACTTTACTCCATTTCTCTCTCCAGTTGGCCGTGCAATCTGACCACCACCTCATGGTCTTCTCCATCTGCGCAGCTCTGGCCTTGACTTCCTCAAGCTCTCGGAGGCGAAGTTCCTCACAAATGTCCCACTCGTTGGTGTGAAGTGCACGAGCACAGACATTGTGGATGGCATGAGACTGCGGCTCGTGGAGGGGCAAGCAAGTGTTACAAGTGTCCTTGGGGGAGGAACCGGGGGCTACTGTGCAACTGCGTGATTTAATCAGAGACTGTTGCATCTGAAAGATTTGTGTTTCCTCAATTAATCGATGAATGGAGTCCAAATTCATGTTTAAGTCCTAAGAAAAGAGGACAAAATTACACCTTTAAATTTTAATTTCAAGAGCATTGAAATACATTGAAATAATGAAGTTCATGTAAGCAATACATTTTCTGGCGTAACTAAAAATATAGATGAATTATGTATTTGCAAATTTCCCAATAAGAAACTATTTATCATTAAATTTTGCTACACAAATAAACAAAGATGCAATTCAAAATAAATGACTTAAATAGTTCACTTTAGCAAGACAAAAGTGAAATGGACCAAAAAGAGGCATCTTCCCACACAGATCACACACTACACGATCAGGTTTTTCAAAACCCTGCAGAGAAATTAAAACAACATTTTAAAAATAAAACAAGAAGTTAAAAATGTAGCAGAAATTAAAATAAGATTTTCACATAAATAAACAGATAAATGAATTTATAAATGCAGATCATTTTATTCACTTACCCACCCATTTATTCAGCAGAGAACTGTAACTATATCTAGAACAAGTAGATCTATTAAAGTAATTGTTAAATGATACAAGTTTATTTAAAAGTTAGAAGACTTTGTGAATTACCAATCATATGTGTACAAATACTGTTAAGGAGAGGACTGGGAAGGAGGGGTAAGGTAGAGAAAGCAGGGAAGCAAGGTAAGTGGGATTGTCTCATTACGACTGTACCCATAGAATATATGAAATGTTCTCTTTATATTAATATAAAGGAATTTTTAAAAGAACCATAGCTGGAACTGAACTATAGCTAGGAACTCAACTCTGGTACTACCAATGTGGGACGCAATGTCTTCCAGGTCACATGCCATTCCCACTTTGGATATATATATGCTAAAATATCTCTTCATTCTATCACTTGACAGTTGGCTGGCTTGATACTGTCCTTGAATTCATTCAATCTCCTCATCACTGCTTAAGAACTGCAAGATCCAGAACTCATCTATCCTGCCTAGCTTCCCCCCTCACTCCAATTCCGACACCCAGGTGGGGGCTCCTGCCTGTACCAGCTCTCCTCCATGTCCTCCTCTCGCAACCAGTCTGCTTCAATGGGAGCCTGATTTCCCTTGGTTTGTCATATGCTGGCTATCATCTGACACTCTTTCATAAGAGACGGGAATCTATCGTCAGGCCCCAGACATTACTTCTGACTCCCAAGACATTGCTAGTAGTTGTAATCAATCACACGGATAAGCACGAAGATCAGCTAGCTAAGTCACATTACGTGTAAGCAAGGTCTATCCCAAATGTAGGTTCAAGTACTATCAGAAGAATGAAATGGAACAGAAGGAAAAGCACTGTGACCACAAGTTACACTATCATGTCAGAAGAAAAGGAGTCCAAAAGGATTTTTCAAATTGGTTACTGTTTTTCTGTAAGGTTATTGCTTTCCCTTTACAAATAAAATGTGTTCTAAATTAAATGCATCTTGAATTTTTCCCCCTTCTAATTCATATCCAAAAACAATTTTAAAAAATCAGCCACAGAAAAAGCTAACTGAAACAGATTCAAAAAATCATTATGGGTACAATGTCATATGCCCTTCTTTTTTTAAAAAAAAAACAAAAGCAAGTTCAATATTCAGAAAAGTGTCATATCGTATTAAAGTGTGACCTGTCATAAATCCATGAATGATGAGTGTGAAAACCTACGATCTGCGTGGATGCAAAGCAGGAAAAACAGGAACCAGGAATTCCATCTTGGTTTCCCAGGTAGCTGATGCATGCAAACACGGCCACACCCTAGTGCACACCAGCAGAGCTGGAACTGGGAGCAGGACTGGGCTGCAAACCCACACAGCTGGATGTAGGATACGGGATGCCCCAGTGGTAACTTAATCCTTGCTACCACATGCCTATCCCTAAACATCACTTTATCATCAGACATTAAATGCGAAAGTTAAAGTTGTAGCAATGAGACAAGCAAAGCCCTCACAGTGACTAGTCACAGGCCACTGCAATGTTTGATCAGGAATACATGTTGTATTTTTAAACTCACACTGTGGCAAATCACATGGACAGTTAACATTCTCTGCCGGTTGGTGCAAATGAGATTTTAAAATTATATAGAGGCATAACATTTGTACACCGCAGGCAACTCTGAGTTTGTGTCATTTGCAAATTATTTAAGCATAGATATTTTACTTTCATAGTGCACTGTGATATATACACTGAAAACTGACAATATTGATGTTAAAAAGTCATAAGCTGTATGAGCTGATCAGATGTCAATTATTTTAACATCTGCAGTAGAATTTAAACAATTAGCTGGCTCTTTGCTTCCTATCTTTAATCTCTGGTTATTTTTTAAAAATAAATCTTTAAAAAATAACCAAAGTCAGATATACAGAGAGGAGGAGAGACAAAGAGGAAGATCCTCCTTCCGATGATTCACTCCAAGTGACTGCAATGGCCAGTGCTACACTGATATCAAACCAGGAGCCAGGAACCTCCTCCATGTCTCCCATGTGGGTGCAGAATCTCAAGGCTTTGCGCCATCCTCAACTGCTTTCCCAGGCCACAAGCAGGGAGCTGGGTGGGAGGTGAAGCTGCCAGGACTAGAACCGGCACCTCAGTGCATGCAAGGTGAGGACTTTAGCCTCCAGGTGACTGTGCCGGGCCCTAATCTCTGCTTATTAATTAGCATTGTTGAAATGAAGACCCATCACTATTCCAAGCCACTGTCTTTCCTTTGTTGTAAGATTTTGGTAAAAAGTGATGGAGCCCCGTTTCAAACTAATGTGGTATGTTTCCTTCCATCCAGGCTTTCAAAAAATGTGAAGAACAAAACTATTAAAAAATGAGGTATTTCAGAACGATTTATCCACTTGGTATCTTGGTATTACTGATGTTTTCTGTATTTTTTTAGATCACACAAAAAATCACAATACTGAAATAACCATGAGGCAGAGGCAGAAAGCGAATAGGCTTATTCATTATAAAGATATATCCAAAATCCACAATTGATTTTATAAATTGCCAATGCATCATTTATAGTGAGTCTTAGAAAAATAATATTTGTATTTTGATCAGATTAATCACTTTGAAGCTTTGATAGTACGATGATTGCCAAGTAAAAATTTAGGTTGAGACATCTTGCTGTTCTGGATGGCTACCATTCCCCGGCTGCTCTGAGTGACACGTGGAGTGCTGAACACATTCAAGTGAGTCCTGTTATAGAGATTTCTTAGCAGTACCCAAATTCTGAAACATAAAAATTTTTAACTAAGGTCTGAGTTTGGTGGCTTAAGTGCTTTGCTTCCAACAATACTTAAAAAAAAGCCTGTATTCTTTATTGCATATTTGTATGGAAACCTGACATTTGTTGAATTCATCTGAATTTATAAGTATTTATATTCACAGCAAGGTTTCAAGGTACAACACAAGCTATCCTAATTTACATATGCAATCTAATCCAATTTACTTGTGCAAAACAAAGTCAAAATATTCCTTGGGGTCTTAAACTAAAAATAAACTTAATATTCCCCGGAATGAAGATGGAGTTGAGGCTCCTGGCTTCTGACTGGCATGGACTGTGACGGCCATGTTGGGAGTGAACCAGGAAATGCAAGATCTTTTGTACATCTCATACATATTTCTTTTTAAATACATTTTACTTTTAATGTCTCCATAGTTGAGAATGATGCATGACCCTGTGGGCCACTAATTAGAGTGGGGGGAGTCAAGGTATGGAGGAAGAAGTAGGGACATATGTGCCCAAATTTTTTTGCCATGATGCAGTTAAATTAAATACCTCTAAAGAGAGATGAGAGGAAGAAGAAAGAGCTACTTCACTAATTAAATTCATCTGTATTTTTCAATATTTGCATACATTTCATGGATTTAGAAAACAAAATATGTTTTAACTTCCTGTGTATTTCCTCAGCAAAATCATGCCATTCACACTTAACTCTTAATGTTTCAGACAAGCACGGGTTTCTTTGTAGCAAACAAGAGAAAGCTCTGCTACAGCTCAGTGATATTTTCTCACACCCATTTGATGGAATGTGTGTATAGCTGCCAACCCACTCCATTTGCTGACTGGAAAGTTTTCTCAGACTTAATAATGAAGCCTGGAGAGAGAACAACTCAAATGATTGTCATATTTATCTTTGAAAATCAGTTATAAATTTTTCCCAAAACAAAATTTATTCTTAAAGTCTGTTTTCTTTCCCCAAAACTACATTCTTTCTCTAATACAAAAGAGCTAAAATATACCACACACTAAAAGCTAAGAGAAAAATAAGATTCAGAGCCAGAAATAACAATCCATTTTGATCACCTATACCTGTGTATATTTGAAATGTTTTGCTTCATTCACCCTACTTCACACTAATGCTAACTATGTATATGTAATACAGCTTTAGGATTTAATTTTTACTTAAAGTTTAATGTTTAAGCCCTATCAGAAAATTTGTCATTTAATTTTCAATGTGAATAAACCAAATCAAATTTACTTTTAAATATAACTCCGAACAAACAAAAAGTATTTTAAAGATCTAGCTCAGGAACATCACAAGGCCGTCGATTAGTAAGGCTCTATTGGGAACAACATGGGAAAGTGAGCAGCATATACTTTTCCCAGGCAAAAGACAGACCATTTCTAAGACACTCACATACGTCTCACGTAGCGCTGAAATGTGGTGAAATTTAAAGGCAACGTTTAAAAATACTCCCAAGAAGTTCCAGGAGATTACAATCCTTGTCTTGATAATTACAGTATTATTTAAAATTTTTAGAAATAGCCCATTTATTTATTCAGAATGTTAAATATCATGACAGAAAATATCTAAATTGAGAGAAGCAGCAATAAACAACCCTGTGCATAATTAACATAAGTTGTAAACATGTTTAGCTTCCTTTTCCTGAAGTAATTTACCACAAATTTAAAGTCTTAAAGATAGAGGTTCATCATGTTTCAGTGCTTAGGGTCAGAAGTCCAAATTAGATCTTACTGGACTGCATTCAACTTGTGGGCAGGGCTTGTTTTTCTGTAGGTTCACACGGGGCTC